AGTATTCTTGCCTAAGTAAGCAGGGGCACAGGAATAAAAGAAAATGAGGGCCTTAAAAATATTTGAATGCAATTTGACTAAAGAAAGACTTTGGAGCTATGCGTGAAATTGCCTCTGATGCATTGCATCTTGTCAATTTTTTCCTTGACTAAAAGTGGAATATAATATTTAAAATCTACACTTGCAATACTTAATATTCATGCAACTTACCTGTGTTTCAAGAAGTGTATTATATCAGTGACAGAACTGAGAGAAAACTGGAAGGACTGGAAATCAAAGGACTAGTCAGAGCTAACAACAGAGACAGCCAACTGATGTGTGAAGTCAGAAAGGACAGAAGAACATTGGGACAAAAGAGAAGTGGCATGAACCATGTATCTTCAGACTGTCGTTTGTGGAATGTGCCTAAAACATGCCAGAAGACAAAATCAAGAGAGTGCTCTGTCTGAAGAAGTATATTTTTTTCATCTTGTATAATGGCAAATGAAATCTTAGTCATGTTAACAAGTAATATTAATAAAGGAATTGTTTATAAATCTACCTTCTAAGGTGGCAGTTTGGGGAAGCATTTCATTTTAAATATAAATTGTGCTTTGGAGGGAAAAGATTATTTTATTTTATTTTGTTTGGCTTTTTTTAGTAGGCAATTGGGGTTAAGTGACTTGCCCAAGGTCACACAGCTAGTACGTGTCAAGTATTTTGTCGGAGGTCAGATTTGAACTCAGGTCCTCCGGACTTCAGGGCGGGTACTGTATCCACTGCGCCACGTAGCTGCCCCGAAAAGATTATTTTATTTTTACTCATTCAATGATAGCCTACAAATAGTGTTCTGATAATACATAAATTTTATATGGTCTTAAAAAGAGGTCTATGAAAAATTCATTGTTTAACTCTTTTGTTGCCCACTGACTAACAAATAACATTTAATTCCAATATGGTATAAGGGAAGAGTATCAGATTTGTAGTTAAAGAACTGGTTTAAAATTCCAGCTCCATCATTTACCATCTCTGCTACTCTGCACAAGTCACAAACTCTCTGGGAACTGATTTCCTCATATGTTGATCTACATGACCTCTGAAGTCCCTTTTTGCTCTAATTACATGATCTTATAAAAACAACCACCACAACAACTCCACATGATGTTGGGAGAAGTAGAACAATATGGAAGGTTTTATTGGGAGATGAAGAGCTCTCAGAACAGACTACTGACCTCACTGTGCCTCATTTTCAGGCTTCTTTTGTGTTCCACTACATGCAGAATCTCACTGGTGATGATACCATGACACAAGGGCTTTTGTTTGTGACACATAAATAAGTGTATGAGTGGCTGGGAGTGGGGGAGGCCAGGAGTAGCAAGCTGTATGGGAACTTAAAATTCTGTGAGTTTGGGTATAACATACCAAAGCTTTCATCAATTCTGTACTATCAATATTTTGCATTATTGAATTCTATAATGGTAACAATTGATTCTTCTGATCATCAGCATAACCAATCTTTTCCTTATGAAGTATACTGTAAAAATACTAGCACTTCTAATTTTGACTACTAGTATATCTAAAACAGAAAAATAAAATGTCAAAACTGAGGAATAAGGATGATACATAGGGAAGTGACCCATTAGATGTTTTTGTCATAGTAGATTTTAAAGATTTTACAAACAATGCAATCAATAAATGATTATTATATAAATGTTTTATTCATATTGTCTTAAGGTTTTCTTGCCTTCCCCTATAATGTTATATGGTTACTAATTCTGGAACACTGAAAACTTCAAAGAATCAAAATACCTACCAGGTGACCAAAGAGGCAATGGAGAGAGAGACATGGTGAATTTAGCTTGGCTTCAGCATGTACCTAATACCTACATGCAAGGATTAGGGATATCATCCAAAAAATAACTGACCCACCACTTTTTCCAAGCAGCAGAAATGAGAGATAATGGAAAAACTGAGTGCTATGTAGCCACAATATATAAAGAAGAATGTTGGATTTGGAGCTGAAGATCTAGAGGTTCAAGTCATAGCCCTAATATGTACAACTTGTGTAATCATGGGCAAGTCACTTGGACTCTCTGAGTGTCTGTTTACTCATCTGTACAATGAGGATTTGGGGAAAAGTGCCCTTCCATCCCTGATTCTGTGAGAGCTTCCAAAATTAAGGACAGTTACTCTGTGGAGGATACATGAGAGAACATTTTCAAGAACTGGTCAGGAGGAGGTACACGAAGGAGTATGAACTCTGTATGAACAGAGGGAATAGCCAAGTTATCCAATACGTAATGAATAAAAACAGTATGTTGGCAAACGAAATGTGTTCAGGTTTAGTATTCACCAACACAAAACATGTTAACGTCATGAAAATCTAGCAAGAAAGTAAAAAAAAAAAATAAAAAAGTAAGATTACCATCCTCACATAGCTCAGAATTGTATTGTGAGAAAGGGATAACTGAATGGGGCCTGTAAAGGATTTTGATTTTACAGAAGAGATAAAAAGAAAACTTTGGTTTGTTTTTTCCAATTCACAAAACATTAACATTCCACACCTCTAGCCTGAAACTCTTGGTGGAGGGGGGTGGGGGTTAAGAAGAGGAGGCAAAGGGAAGGATACAGAAACAATTTCTGGAGTCATTAAATCCTGGTACCTCTAGCAGCACTACCGAAAAACTGTGAGAGGGGAAAGAACCAGTCCCCGATTCAGAAGACCTGAGTTCATGTCCTGATTCTGACACTAGGTATATGACTCTGGCCTAATCATTTCTTCCCTCTGGATATCAATTTCTTCATTTGTAAAATGGAGATAGGTGATACATACATCAAAGGGTTGCTCTAAGAAAAATGTTTTGCAAACCTGAAAATGCTCTACAGAAATGTCCCCTACATATGCATTTAAGTGGAACACACAGTATTATAATATTCAAACACATATATTAAGAACTATGCATTTTGAAAGGTGAAAAGGATAAAGGATAGGGAGGGGTAATTAGAGTCCAATGAGAACAACTTTTTGTGGTAAAGATTCAAGAAGGAAGAAGAGCAAGAAAACGTCAGGAAGACATTTCAGAAAAGAAATGGCATAAGTATCCCGGAGGTAGTAAGTAAATTTGTCTGACGGAAGCAAACAGTGTAGGTTAGAGAAAGGTAGTTACTTAAAAGGAGAATCAGTTACCCACCAAACTTAAAATCTAAAAGACAACTCAGAGCCATTGGAAGGCCCCAGGAGAGGGGTGATAAACTCAAAATGCTGATTGAGGGAAGGGGGAATTTTGATTCCTTGCAGATGATAACTAACTCAAGGATAAACATCCGATGTAGAATACTAATCTCATTCATTCTGAGTCACACCTTGAATTTCAATAAATAGTACATTTACTTCCTTAAGATGGCCAAGCCAAAATATAGACAAGAAATGGAACGGTCTTTTACGTACAGAGTTAAACTTTCTACTGACGAAAATTATCCTGTTTCATTCTTTATACTTTTTAATGTGATCTAAAGTTTCTAGGCTTCAGTCTTCCTGATTTCAAGAAAGGCTGTAAGAGCTTATTAGAAAATCTTCCAAAATTAAGTAGGATGTGTTAGGAAGGCAACTTTCACACAACAAGGGCAAAAACTGAATGTATGTTAATAGAAATGTATGGCAGAGCATACATCTGCTTTTTCTGTCCTATGAAGGAAGAAACTTCTTAGTCATTGACAACTGCCACACTGTCCAATTACAACTAGTGTATTTAAAACACATCTAAGCTCATCCATTGGGTACTTAAAAGTTGATTCCAACTGTTACATTTTCCATGTGTAACTACTTTATGTAAGACACATCTACTAGGCTCATCTATTGGGAATTTAAACTGTTCTATTTCCATTTGCAACTAGTGTATTTAAAACACATCTAGGCTCATCTACTGAGAACTTAAAAGTTGATTCCAACTGTTCTATTTTCCATTTGCAACTGGTGTATTTAAAAAAACATCTAACAGGCTCATCTCTTGGATGCTTAATTTTCCAGCGGTTTAACCGCTGAACTGGGAGTGGGAAGCTCACCTCCCGTGCACGGTTAAGGTCAGACTTTGGTGGTGCTGGGGTCCTGAGAAGTGGAGAAAGCCGAAAATCTGCCCAAGGCCAGGGGGCAGCAGCTGATGCCTCCACCGCACCAGGTTCTCCCCGCCCCCTCTTTGTGTCTTGACTTAGGGTCCCCTAAAGCAATAAGCGCGCCAGCCTCGGGGCTGTAAATCACGGCCGATTAATACCGTAACTCTCCAGCCCTGACACCCACAATCCGTTATGTCTGCCCGGAGGGGGAGGGGCCACCACAGGTGAGATCCGGGCCGGGCGCCCCACCTCGCTCGTCGCGGTCACGCGGGGCTTCTTGCCCCCCCTTCCCGTCCGCGGACTCGAGGGTCCTCTGGGTGTGTATGTGTGTGCGACAGCTGTCAGATACCCTGGAACCTGTCCACGCGACAGTCCCCCCGCTGTGGGTCGCGGGTGGGAAAGGAGGCAGCCCGGCTTACCCCCTCCCCCGCCTCTAAAAGAAGGCGCAGGAGCTCGGCCCCGAGCCCAGCGGGGGGGGGGGTCCCGGGGAAGGGGGGGCGGCACACGGGACAAGAAGGCGGGAGGAGGTGGCCAGCGCTGCTTCGTTCGACTCGCTCTTTACCTTGTCCAGCCCAGGTCCCGGCCGTCTCCCGCTTCCCCGCCACCCCGCCCCGGGTACCTGAGGGGGAACTTTTCCCTCAGCCCCTCACTTGCAAAGCTCGCCAGCGCCCACCGTTGCCGCAAACCGCCCTCGCCCTAGCAACAAGGTTCCGGTCGTAGAGCGAGCGCCTCTAGGTGTAAGGAAGGTGATGTCGTAAAGCCGCGAGTGTCGTAAACCAGGTGCGGTGGGGAGCCCGGGGAGGGGGGAGCGGAGGGAGGGAGGGAGGGAGGGAGGGGTGGAGGCGGAGGGGTGAGGGGGGGAAGGGGGAGGGAGGGGGAGGAGGTGACTCGAGCATTTAGACACAAGCGAGAGGATCATGGCGGATGGCCCCAGGTGTAAGCGCAGAAAGCAGGCGAACCCGCGGCGCAATAACGGTGAGTCCGCGGACGGGCCCGGGGAGCGGCGGGGCCCAGGGCGAGCCCGGCCGCCGGGGCGCGCCCGGGGCTGAAGAAGGAGAGCCGGGCCGGGCCGGGGGGCCGCCGGGAGAGGGACGGGGAAAGTCGAGTGGGAAAGTAGAAAGTAGTGGTGGGAGCCCCCCGCCGCCTCCTGCTCGCTGGGCTGGAGCCCGAGCCGGAGCCGGAGCCGGAGCCCAGCCCGAGCCGCTGCTACTGCTACTGCTGCTGCTGCCGCTGCCCCTGCCCCAGCCTGGCGGCCGCTGCCTCTGCCTGAACCGTTAGCTCGGGCTCCTCTTACCTGGCGTCTCTCCGCCTAGCGGCTCCCGCCGCGCCTGCCTCCCTGGACCGTTAGCCGCCGCCGCCGCCGCCGCGGCTGCATCCCCGGCCCCCTCGGGGCGGCGGGGTGGCGGGGCCACTTCTCCGGCTCCGGGCGGAGCCGCCGCCGCGGCTTTTCGCACTTTTCCCCCTTCTGTCTCTCTCTCTCTCTAGCTTCCCCCCCTTCTCTTCCTCCTCCTCCTCCCTGCTCAGCCCTCCTCCGTGTCATTCTCTCGCAACCCGGAGGCCCCCGGGAGCCCGAGGAACAAACTTGTTCCCCGCGTCCCCAGGGGCGAAAGTGGCCCCCCGCCCCCCTGCACCCGCGCGGCCGTGGGGGGGGGGCGCCCGTGCTGTTTGCCTTGCCTGGGGCGGGGGGTGGCGGTGCTGCTGGTGGTTGTGAACTGTGTTTTTGGTGCGCCAGGAGGGGCGGGGAGCTCCTGCCGCCACCCCCCCGGCTCCCGGGGCAGGGGCGAGGGGGAGACCGAAGTTGTCTCTCCCGAGTGGAGAGAGCGGATGCGTGGGGAAAGGCTGCTGTCCGCCCGCCCTGGGTGGTGCCCGCGGCCGTCGGGCAAGTTACCTGACTCGGAAGCCTAGAGCCCCCGGCCCCCAGCGCTGGAGGGCAGGTGGGGGGCGAGGACTCGGTGCGGAGGGGGTCGGTGCGCGTGTGTGTTCCTGGGGAAGTTGTTACCTGGGGGAGACGCGCGGAGCCGAGCGTGAAGCTGTGTCTGCTGCTCGGGCTCGAGTGGGAGGGGAGCGGGGGGTGGGGGGAGGACAGGCGGACGGACGCGGCCGCCGCCGCCGCTGCTGCTGTTGCAGCAGTGCTTATTGATCCGGGCTGATTGGCGGGCGAAGCCCCCCGCCTCCCAGCCACACCGGGGGCCCCGGGCAGCTGCCGGGCTCCGTCCGCCGCCGCCGAGCCCCTGTAAGTTTCTCGCGTCTCCGCCCGAGCCCTTCCCGGCCTGAAACTCCCCTGGCCGGGCGGGCAGCGGGCGAGCCCTCCTCCCCCGGGCTCTGCTGGTGCTGCCCGGCCCCGCGGCTGCCCCCGTACCTGCGTGTAGAATCATGGGTGGGAACGGCGTGGCCGAGCTGCTGAGTCTATATAAGGAATGACATGGACGTCTCAGACCTCGGGCTTGGGGCTGCTTGGGGCTGCTTGGGGGGACGTGGGTTCTGTTAGGAATGGGTTTGAGAAGGGGGAGATGGACACAGCGTGCTCGTGACAGCGTCTCTATCTCCTAGAAAATGAGGGGATGTGCCGGAGTAGAAACGCTTGTGGTAGCCCCCCGTGGGCTGTGAAACGCGAGGCTTTGTAACCTTTTCTGCAATTTGAGGTGGTGTGTGTGGGGGGCTTCCTGTCTGGAGACGAGAGGAAGCTCATAGCTGCTCCTTCCAGCCCTGGGGCGGGCTCTAAATGGACCAGAACTTGCATTGAGGTTCCTAGCCGTTGATTTAATTAACCATTGAAACACGTAAATAAACAACCTCGGTGGAAAGCACGCGCGAAGTTGCGGTTGAAAGTTGCGTTATTGTGCTGCCGCCGCCGCCGCCGCCGCCGCGGGCCTGGGGCGGCCGGGGGCGGGGGGCGGGGGGCGCGCTGCCCGGGCTCGGCCCGGTTCGCTTCCCCTGTTAGGGAGCGCCCCTGGCGTGGGGGCCGCCGGGGCCGCCTCCCGGGGGCTGCGTGAAAGGTAAGTTCGGAAAGCGCGGCGCCGTCTCCCCTGATTACGGTGTTGGGCGTCCGAGGAAGGGGCTTTTCTTGTTGCTGACGACATGTGTGTGACATGTGAGTCTGAGCCACCAGTGTCTGTGCAGCTGCTGTAAACATGTTTACCTGCACGGGAGAGAGAATGGAGCTTCTCCTCCACATCCCGTCCTAGGAATATTCACCTCCCGAGGCATATCAACAGATGACCTAAGGGGAAAAGGCGTTCCGGAAAGGTCTGGACATCCAGAGGAAAAAGAGGCAGGCTCGGGATCGCCGCGGCAAATGGCAACTTGTGCAGGTAGACAAAAAGATGGGGTTGAGTTTTCTGCTGCCGGCGGCATGTCAGCCCCCTCCTGTCTGCCGCGTTCAGCCTCCAGGGACGCCTTTATTTACCGCGATGCTTGTCAGTGTTTTTCCTTTGTGTTTAATATTAGACAAACAGATTTGAGGCTGGTTAGCGCAGAACGATTTGTCTGCAGCATGCACCACACAGAAAACAAAAGGTGTATAAGATAGTACTATTACAGGTACCTTCCATTTTCATCACTTTGGGATCCTAGCATTGCATCTTTTTCTGTTGTTGTTCTGAAATGCGTTTCATTCATAGATAATTAGCATAGCTGTTTTCTAGGCTGTAAATAGCATTGTATTTTGCGAATTAGAAATGAGCTTGTCATGCCATTGCAGTGAAATCTCAGGATGGGCACTGGTTAATATTTCTTAGCAACGCAGTCATGTTTAAGTTGCAGATATTTTCTGATGAGAACTGCCAGTAAAAATGTTAACCCTCAAAGGTGTATGGTTAAGAAATAAGCGTTGATTACAGTGGGGGGGGTGTTCATTGAGGTCTTTAATTTTATTTGTGCGGAAATAATTTTTTGTTCATTCTAGATTAAAGCATAGCAGATTGTGCTGCTTATGTAAAACATTTTAATTTCCTTCTGAAATATCTATCTTCTGAGTCAGGGATGTAAAATAGGGGTATCAAGTACTGTTAACTTGACAGCTAGTCAACCATCTGAGTAGTGTTTGCCCATAGAACAAACCTTATGCAGTGAACTTTATGTTAATGTTGTTAGTCATCTTTAATGGAGATAAATTAGAACTGCTTAAATTGATTTCAAAATGACCCCGGTAGCTTTATGTATCATATATATTTTAAGAGTTAAATTTTCTCATTTTCTTTTGGATAAGTCTACTCCAGTAACTTAAGCCTGTCATTCTGGTATATTAAGCAAATGGAAAGGTACATGCATATGTTAGAGGCACTTTCCTTGCTATCTTTGGAATCCACCAGTAGAGGATGCTAACAAAAGAGATATATTGTACTACTCTACCATGAGTCTTTTTACCTCCTACCATGTTTGAAACCTTAGCATTCTCATTTTTGTGAAATTATTTTGCTAGTTTTAAGTAACAGATGTAACATAATTGAAATTTTGATAGAAATATTTTCAAATCTAATAATCTTTACCTTAAAATTGCAGTTGGACCAAATTATATTACTAAAAGGCCTATGTTCTTAGTTTTTCTTTATCTTATATATTGCTTGGGTGTGTGTGTGTGTGTGTGTGTTAGGAGTAGGGCTTGAGGACTTACCGACTTCGCCATTTTTTTAATAGTGGCTATATTTTAATTACAATTGGAGCAGAGCAAACATGAAATCTCATGAAAATTCTAATAACAAAATGGTAACAGAGTGGCAATCATATCTCCACTGGGATTTTTTTTCCTTATGGGGAATTATTCTAATCCTTGAAGTAAGGAATAACATAGCTTTTTAAAATTATTTCTGTGTCTCTCTTAAAAAAAGTAAATGGAGATTATATGGCAGTTAAGTTAACCATAAGGTGTTACCAATAGACTCCACCCCTTAATAACTTAAGGATACTGCCTTCATTTTTGTTCTTCTTTGCTTGTGCTTTGATACCTTCTCCTTTTGATGATCCTTTCCTCAACCCCCTCCCCCCATCCTTCTTATTAGGGATTATGTTTTGCATGAATTTAAACTGCCAACTGAAAGAAGTACTGTTCTGAATCCAATACAGTCTTACATAAAAATTGAAATTACAGTTTTTAAAATGCATATTTTGTTTAATGAAGTAACTGCAGAGGCAGTGTGGTGTGGGGATAGAGGACCATTCTTAAACTCAGAAAGTCCTGGGTTCAAGTTCTGTTTTAATACCTATTTGCTGTATTATGATGGTCAAATCAGTTATCCTCTTGGTGCTCAAGCTAACTTTAAAACTACATTTCTTGGGCTTGTACATTTACGTGCACAGGAAAAGGGGGATTTCCTTTCTAGCTGTCCACTCTACTAATGAAATCCCAGATTTGGACCACTAAAAGTAACTAACTCTCCTTTTACTTTGCATCTTTAATCAATTGTATAAATATACTACTAAATTGGTTTTTTTAAAAGCTTTTAATTTAGTTCAAATGTCAGAAATATTTAATTGCCCAATTATTGTAACATTGTGTGAGTATACCAACCCTTAATAAAAAGTGACAGTTACACCTTTTTATCTTAAGATAAACATAAAACTTAATACCATGAAAATATGATTTTTTGTTTTTACATAATTTTTCTTAGTGTGCCATCATATAAATAGTGTAGGCCTTTATAATTAGGTCTTTATCACCTCAGAGGCATTACTTAAGCTTGGCATTCTCAAAATTATCAAGAGCCTAGCAGGAATTGTGGTGGTGCTGATCACACATTTTTCTGAGCTGATGGAACTTACTATTTTCTAAATGGCATATTAATTGTAACATGGAGTAAAATTTCAAATAATGCTTATTTTTAAAGTGAGACCCACCTCTCACTGATGCATGTTATTTAATTTAGCTTTGATCGATCATACTTTTTCTTCCCATTTTTATCGTGTTGCTAAATGTCATCGTGCCTTTCCACTCTAAATGTGCCAAAGGATCCTAATTAGCAATGCGTGATTTTTAATAATGGCAACATTACTTATTATTGTGGTTAAGCTTCTTTTATTGTTTTTTTTTAACCTTTCCTGTTAATCACTTCCAAACATGTGAGGAGAGCCAGATGTAAACACAGATGCTCTAGCATGTGGGATTACATTGGTGACTCCTCAGCTACTTTGTGTACAGATTGTAGTGGGGAATTAGAAGGCAGCTCTGCAGGTGTTAAATGCAGATATGCACCTAGTACGCCAAAGTGCAGAAGGAAAGTTCTCCGAAAAAGGTCATGGGACTTAGTGCAACTACTATCTACAAACAGGGGCTTTACCCATTTTACATCACTTTGGTCTATGAAAGTGTGACTTAATATGAAACATTTATGTTCTTTATGCATAAAATAGAAATAGAAAATAAAAGT